TAATGAGCTATTTTTTAAAGCATATGTATGTAACCTATGTATCTATATATGTGAACAAAATTGGTGGACAACATTATTGAGGTATTTCTAAAAGCATATTTGAAAATGCTAGACGAATTGTTCTCAATAAAACAATATCTCAACCATTTTTAGAAGTTACATCTATTCGAAATATTAGTTTTATGCTTGACAAATGTTTAAACTGTTGTAAAGTGAGATGAATTAGTTGGAGGTTAAAAGAGCAGGAGTATGAGTAGTCTATTTGTATTTTAATTTGGCACTCTTTGATGAGAACAAATCATTATGTTTATATATGACTCTTCTCAAAGAGATTTTTTTTTTTTTTAATTTCAGACAACCTAATGAAGCCTCTTTTGAATTATGGTATTGCTTGGTGAGCATATCTTTTTTACTTTATACTTCTTTTCAGAATACTGTTGATGAACTTATGTAAATTAGTTGTCTTTTTGATTTACTGTTGTAGTATGTCTATGGGCTTCCTGGTTGAAGAGACTGCACCAGTTGTTTGGAGAGGCCTTATGGTAATGTCAGCCATTGAAAAACTGTTGAGGCAGGTAAGAAACTTGCATTGAGTATCATTTTATCATCGGCACACTGTGGTTAATGCAGCTGCTTATTGGAGAGCTGTTAAAATTTGCATTTAGGTTTCAGATGTTTTGCAAAAGAATCCAGTTGATAAACTGAATGTATAATGAGTTATGTGGCGCCAAAATCAAATTTCACTGTTATGTGATTTAATCTTTCCCATTATTTATGAGTACTAAAAATCCAGTGTCTTATTTTATATTGTTCTGTTGCTCTGTTGAGGCTGCAGTAAGATGGGGAAATCTATTTTATAAGTAATCTGCCTTCTTCAGATTTATGGTTAATCTCATTGTGGCCAATATGAGTTATAAGGGCAGTGCAGAAATTACTCAGATGTAGAAAAAATTATAGAAGCTATAGTGCTTCAGAACAAAATAAAATTTTGTTTTACTTTGAGTACATACGGCTATATATTTGTGTATATAATATCTGCCCAATCAACTTCAATTAATTCTTAAGGAAGAGAACAGTTGATTGGATTATCTAAAATATCAGAAGAGCTATATGTTATTTATAGGAATAAATTTATTTTTTTTCTTAGTAGCTGTGAATTTATTAATTATATTCTAGGAAAATGTAATAAGTAATTTGGATTTTCTCCACCTATTTATAGTAGTTACCTCATATTCAGATTTTACTTTGGGTCAGGTACTATGCTATAGGTTGACAATTCTAATCACAGATATTCCTATGTATGTATTCATAATACACACACACACACACACACACACACACACACACATATAATTATTTCCAGTTGTGAATCAAGTAGATGAAATATGTCTTGAATTCTGAAACTCTTCTTTTTTCATTGTAACATCATGTCTTTCTTCTGCTGCTTGCGTCTGATAAATGTACTCTTCTGTCTCTGGACTCAGTGTCATCCTATTCCTAGTACATTTATTTAAGTCTCTTGGCTGCATCTCTTCCTCTTTTACATTCAGTTTCCAAAATAGGTTATTTCAGTTTTACTCTCAAGAACACCCTTTCTCTGCCAATTCCTTGTTGACCTTGTACTTGATTTGTGTGGGTAACAGCCCCTCTTTCTCTCTCTTTTTTTTTCAAAGGAAATTCTAAGCAAATCTCAGTTTAGTTTATAATAAAAGTTAGAGTCAATAGAAAGTTGGAAACACCAAAAGGAAATATCTTATTTTGTTGTGAGAATGTTTTAAATATGAATTTTCCCCTTCTATATTAGTGTTATAATTCTCAACAGGAAATGATTAAGAATTCCTCCTAAGCCTTTATGAATGGCCACCGACGGTAGAAATACTTCAGCTTTCCACAGTGTCCATAGACTTATTAGAGATTCAAGTCAGTGATAAGAGATACAGAGATACAATTTTTAAAAAAAGCCCTGGCCGGGTGTCTCAGTTGGTTGGAGCAATGTCCTTTACACCAAAAAGATGTAGGTTTGATTCCCAGTCAGAACACATACCCAGGTTGTGGGTTTGATCTCCGGTTGGGTGTGTATGGGAGGCAACAGATTGATGTTTCTCTCTCAAAATCAATGAAAGACATATCCTCAGGTGAGGATTAAAAAATAAAAAAAGAGATGCAGATGCAGGCTAAGCTTCCAGCTCAGGGATGTAGCATCCCCATATTTATACCCGTAGCCTGTCCCCAGCCAGATGTGCATGAGTTCTCTCTTTTCTACCTCTGTGTGTCCTTTTTAAAATCACAGGGGCCCTTTTAAATCTCTAATTCCAACAGGTGACAAAAGCATCATTGCTGGTGAGCCCTTGAGGATGGAAGAGAGAGCATGTGTGCATGTGCCCTCAGGAGAGGGGCAAAGGGAGTTTCCCGCAGAATTAGTGAGATTGAACCTGATAGTACAGCAAGCTCTTCGTCCTGGAACCTGCACCTTTCCTCTCCCCATTTTGTTCTCCCCAGGCTAGTCACCTTTACCTTTCTCTCTCCTAAGCTCTGAGGGCTCTTCTTTGCCTCTAACTTTCTAAATAAACTTTCTCTTATTTAAAAAAACTCTGATAGTACAAATTAATTAGGCGACAAAAAGGTTGTGCCTGAAGTTCAAACTTATATTTAGTACCTGCTTTTATAAATGAAGAAAATGTTTTGAGAAAAGAGGTGAAAGGATCAGAAGTCTGCAGGAACCAGAGTATATTATTATTATTGTTGTTGTTGTTATTATTATTTTGTGGAGTGTTGGGTAAGAGAGGAGGGGCAGGATCCCAATTCCATATTCTCAGTCAACGTCCTGCCATAACCTAACCTCTTTTATCTACTGCTGAATACTGTCAGAAAGTATAGAATAATTGTGTTAATTGCCAGCATTATATAATTTTTTTCTTTTTGATGTTCTAATTGGGTATTTTTTATTACATTGTCTTCCAAATAGCTGATTCACTCCTCTGCTTTATCGAGCCTACTGTTTAGTACTTCCAGTGTATTATTTATTTTAGATATGACATTCTTAATTTCTGACTGGTCCTTTTTTTATGTTTTCTATGTCATTTTTCATGCTGTTGAGCATCCTTGTAATCATTACTCTGAACTCTATATCTGATAAATTGCTTACCTCTATTTCATTTAGCTCTCTGGAGAATTTCATTATTCTTTCATTTGGTGCCTGTGTCTTTGTTTCCCGATTTTGGCTGCCTCTTCGTGTGTGTTTCTATGTATCAGGTAGAAATGCCATGACTTCCTGTCTGTTACAGTGGCCCTATGTAGTAGGTGACCTGTGGTCTGTTCATGTGTGGGATTGACCCTTAGTTTGGCTGACAGGCTCAACCCCCAACATAGTGTGCAGGCTGCTGTGCAAGTGCTGATCACACAAAGTAGAATTCGCCTCAGCACAGTTTGGTGCCTGCTGAGATCTCCCTGTGGATATGCTGCTTATGAAGCTTACTGGATCCTGCTCTTTTGTTGTGTGGAACTGGCCACTGGGTGTATTGGTTCTGGGCCTCTTTGGAGGGACTGTGGTACAGACAGATGTCAGACTCTGTGACAGGTCCTGGGCAACCTGTGTGGAGCTATCAGCGATTCATAGTTTGCAGCTCCCCCTGCTGGGCCTGCATGCATGTGGAAAGAAGCTGTGCACCAAGGCCTGTTTTTACTAGCACCAGGCCCAGGGGCAGGTCAAAGTACCCAGAGATCAGCCTTCGCCTACAGGCTGTCTGTTAGGTGCAGTCACTACAGAGCCTTGGGCTGTACTCCTCAGTAGGGCATAAGCTCTACATGGTGAGATGAGAGGGATTCCAATGGGTGGTGGGGCTATTGCTTTCCCCCAGGCTGATGCTGCATGAGGTGATGCTCTGCCTGAGAAAGATGGCTGCTGTAGTTTGGAGGAATGACTCAGCACAGGAATCCTCTCAGCTATTTCCCCAGAGCCATCAACCCCACATAACTCTAGTATGCTCTGCCCTTCCTCTGCCGGAGCCCAGGGTGAGTGGCTGTGAAGGAAATTTTGTGCATTGGCCCTTTAAGAGGATGTCTGTGTTTCTAGCCATCTCTTCTTGGCAGACAGAAACCCTTTGCTTTTTACAGCAATATATTTTGTGCACCTTTCTTGGTTCTGGTGGTTTGGGCTTGGGATCTCGGCTTGGGGTTTAGACCCCGCACTTCTCAGGGGGACCACTCCCCACAGCTGAGATATTTCTCCAAAACTTCAGCTGCTGCCCGTGAGAGCCTGGCCAGCCCTCTTGTGCCTCCGCGCCTCCTACCAGTCTTGTTGTGGCCTCTATAAGTCCTTGGTTATAAGGCTTCTCCCCACCTAGTTTTCAGTTAGTTATTTAGGATGATGTTTCTATACTTTAGTTGTAATTCCAGTTTGGTCCTGGGAAGAGTTGAATGTAGCTTCTACCATCTTGGATCACCACAAATTTCTGTATTCATAAAAATTATCTGTGGAGTTGAAAATTCAGATTTATTCTCCATGTTCTATTCTCCCATTTAAAGATTTTTCTTCAGTATGTCCAAGGGAGGGCCAAGGAGTTCTTACTTTATTAATAGATTATCCCAGGTCACAATAACTAATGCTGGTGGCTCTGAAATCAGGTTTGGGCCTCTGATGGTCCAGAGGCAGTGCTTTTTAACTGCTTTCAGAGGAATAATAATAATAATAATAATAATAAAAGAGATGAAGATATGAATGATAGGATGCCTGTGTAGCAGCAAGGGCCCAATGGATGCTAAATATCAGAATTTTTAGTTTTGCCAACTCTTTAGCTACTCTATGACACTTAAATTTGACATGGGCAAAACTGTGGTTGGATTCAGGATTGGCATGGCAGAATGTCTAAAGGAGAAAAATATCTAGGGCACTAATTAGGGAAACACTGAAGTCAAGGCCTGATTGTCAGGAAGACATGTTAGGAGGTATCAGGAGACTGGGTAAAATTGGAGGATCCAAATAATTGAAAATCACCTGTGGCCCTTACTGGTTTGGCTCAGTGGATAGAGCGTCAGCCTGTGGACTCAAGGGTTCCAGATTCGATTCCGGTCAAGGGCATGTACCTTGGTTGCGGGCACATCCCCAGTAGGGAATGTGCAGGAGGCAGCTGATCGATGTTTCTCTCTCATTGATGTTTCTAACTCTCTATCTCTCTCCCTTCATCGCTGTAAAAAAATCAATAAAATATATTTTTAAAAAATCATATAAAAAAAAAGAAAATCACTTGTGATGTAGAAGTGATTGAGTAGCTGAGAGAGGTATGGATGTGAAAAGTCATATATAAATTGGTTTTGTTTAGAGAAGGAGTGGTATTAGAAAGGTTAGGCATTTTTTTTATGGATGAAATTTGGAAATGATGTATTATTGAGGAAAAACAGTTTCTATTAAAGTGAGAAAAATGTCAAGGATCAAGGTACCTCACAGTAGGGTGGTAATAAGGTTGCCAGATAAAATGCGGGATATATGTAGTTAAGTTTGAGTATCAGATACACAATGAATACTTTTTCACAGTATGTGTATGTTCCAATTGCTCACACTAAAAATTATTTGTTGTGT